TCACCCGTGTCGCGTGACGTCATCACTCCCTCACCACCACCTCACCCGTGTCGCCTGACGTCATCACTCCCTCACCACCACCTCACCCGTGTCGCCTGACGTCATCACTCCCTCACCACTCCCGCGTCTCTAAACGTCATCACTCCCTCACCACCACCTCACCCGTGTCGTCTGACGTCATCACTCCCTCACCACCACCTCACCCGTGTCGCCTGACGTCATCACTCCCTCACCACCACCTCACCCGTGTCGCCTGACGTCATCACTCCCTCACCACCACCTCACCCGTGTCGCCTGACGTCATCACTCCCTCACCACCACCTCACCCGTGTCGCGTGACCTCATCACTCCCTCTCCTCCACCTCACCCGTGTCGCCTGACGTCATCACTCCCTCACCACCACCTCACCCGTGTCGCCTAACGTCATTACTCCCTCTCGACCTCACGCGTGTCGCGTGACGTCATCACTCCCTCTCCTCCACCTCACCCGTGTCGCGTGACGTCATCGACCCCTCCTCTCCTCACCACCCCTGCGTCTCGACGTCATCACTCCCTCTCCTCCCTCCCTCTCCTCTACCTCACCCGTGTCGCCTGACGTCATTGACCCTTCGTCCTCATCCCTCCCGCGTCTCTTTTGACGTCTCTCGCCCCCCCGCTATGTAACGTCTTCCTTGGTCACGTGCTTCGAGACGCTCTCCGTGGCTGTCCCAGTGGAATCTCCATCTGCTACCGATACAATGGGAGGCCGATCGATGCACGGGGGTGCAGTCAAGGGACGGCTTACGATTTGGTCAACCATGCCATGTATGGTGACGATCTGTTAATTAGCGCTCACTCCTCTGCATCGGAGTGGGAGGAGATGCCACTGCCGAAACTGGTGGTGGTGTGTGATGTACGAAGAGACCGGCGCCTTTACCATCAGCAAACACAAAAGCAAAGCGCCTGTCTGGGTGTTTGAAGCCATCAAATACTCCAACCCTCCAACTCTCTGGGTGTTTGAAGCCATCAAATACTCCAACCCTCCAACTCTCTGTCTGGGTGTTTGAAGCCATCAAATACTCCAACCCTCCAACCCTCTGTCTGGGTGTTTTAAGCCATCAAATACTCCAACCCTCCAACACTCTGTCTGGGTGTTTTAAGCCATCAAATACTCCAACCCTCCAACCCTCTGTCTGGGTGTTCGAAGCCATCAAATACTCCAACCCTCCAACCCTCTGTCTGGGTGTTTTAAGCCATCAAATATTCCAACCCTCCAACCCTCTGTCTGGGTGTTCGAAGCCATCAAATACTCCAACCCTCCAACCCTCTGTCTGGGTGTTTTAAGCCATCAAATACTCCAACCCTCCAACCCTCTGTCTGGGTGTTTGAAGCCATCAAATACTCCAACCCTCCAACACTCTGTCTGGGTGTTTTAAGCCATCAAATACTCCAACCCTCCAACACTCTGTCTGGGTGTTTTAAGCCATCAAATACTCCAACCCTCCAACCCTCTGTCTGGGTGTTCGAAGCCATCAAATACTCCAACCCTCCAACCCTCTGTCTGGGTGTTTTAAGCCATCAAATACTCCAACCCTCCAACCCTCTGTCTGGGTGTTCGAAGCCATCAAATACTCCAACCCTCCAACCCTCTGTCTGGGTGTTTTAAGCCATCAAATACTCCAACCCTCCAACCCTCTGTCTGGGTGTTTGAAGCCATCAAATACTCCAACCCTCCAACCCTCTGTCTGGGTGTTCGAAGCCATCAAATACTCCAACCCTCCAACCCTCTCTCTGGGTGTTTGAAGCCATCAAATACTCCAACCCTCCAACCCTCTGTCTGGGTGTTTTAAGCCATCAAATACTCCAACCCTCCAACCCTCTGTCTGGATGTTCGAAGCCATCAAATACTCCAACGCTCCAACCCTCTGTCTGGGTGTTTGAAGCCATCAAATACTCCAACCCTCCAACCCTCTGTCTGGATGTTCGAAGCCATCAAATACTCCAACGCTCCAACCCTCTGTCTGGGTGTTTGAAGCCATCAAATACTCCAACCCTCCAACCCTCTGTCTGGGTGTTTGAAGCCATCAAATACTCCAACCCTCCAACCCTCTGTCTGGGTGTTTGAAGCCATCAAATACTCCAACCCTCCAACACTCTGTCTGGGTGTTTTAAGCCATCAAATACTCCAACCCTCCAACCCTCTGTCTGGGTGTTTAAAGCCATCAAATACTCCAACCCTCTGTCTGGGTGTTTTAAGCCATTAAACCCTCCAACCCTCTGTCTGGGTGTTTGAAGCCATCAAATACTCCAACCCTCCAACCCTCTGTCTGGGTGTTTGAAGCCATCGAATACTCCAACCCTCCAACCCTCTGTCTGGGTGTTTGAAGCCATCAAATACTCCAACCCTCCAACCCTCTGTCTGGGTGTTTGAAGCCATCAAATACTCCAACCCTCCAACCCTCTGTCTGGGTGTTTAAAGCCATCAAATACTCCAACCCTCTGTCTGGGTGTTTTAAGCCATCAAATACTCCAACCCTCTGTCTGGGTGTTTTAAGTCATCAAATTCTCCAACCCTCCAACCCTCTGTCTGGGTGTTTGAAGCCATCAAATACTCCAACCCTCTCGACTCAACATGACGAGAAGTGAGGCAGTTGTGGAATATCAAAGTTTCCGTACATGGGCAGTGACGGTCCTCACTCCGAATGAGCCGAGCAGTATTGTAATTCCCATCAGCTGCATACCGCCGTGTGGAAGCTACCTGCTCTAATGCTCCCACACGGAGCCCCGGGTCTTCTCGGCCAGTTATGCCACCGTTCTTTATACCTGCAAAACGGGGAGACCTTCACAGGGACATCTTCGCCGGTTTGAAACGTTCAGGCAAGCCTGCCTACGACCCATCCTGCATGGTCTGGCGAGACTCGCTTGTGTGACGAGCTCGCAGATCCACGAACGATCTGGACGCAGTCCCCAGCGGCGAACTCCTCTGGCAAGTGAGGCTGCGTTGGCTGGGTCATGAAGCCCGCATTGGCCAGCCATGCTCAAACATCACGCTAATCTCTCACATTAACATAGCCATTTCCATGCCCTCGTCGAGGAGGCCGCTCTCCTCCTATCTTACACTTACATGCTAATTTCTCACGTTAACATCACCAGCCCCGGCCACTTATATATTTAAATAGTCTGCCCCAGCAGCAGCAGACCATGCTTTACCACCTGATGACGGACGCTTGTGTTGCGCCCGAAACGTCGTGATTTATTTGATTTTCTACCCACGTGACTTTACCAAAAGAACCAACGAGTATGGATTCCTGCGGTCACAAAAGCTTCAAATCGAGATTGGCTTCTGTTTGGTCTGATGGAGAAGCTCGAGAAGACGTGGACTGATCGGACTTGCCGGTGACCGGTACCAGCGTCGTCAAGGTCCACCTCTGTGGAGGAGGCTCGTGAAGGACGCTGCTGCTACTGGGCAAGTTGCAGGCAGCCGCCCTCCAACAACAACAACGGAGGGTGGAGGAGCGACGCTCACAACAACGAGCGGTATAAAACGCAGCAATTCCGCGCAGTTGTGAGCACAGGTGGTGCCTACGCCAGTAAATTCACGTGGAGCCAGTCGACCCATGGCTCCTGGGCGTGCCCCCTGACCTGCCGACGAGCGTCCGACACTTCACAGCGCCTCAAGGTGCACCTAGCCTGGCACACGCACCGTGACGACGTCACTGTGACTTAGCGGCGAACGGCGATGGTCGTCGTCGTTGTTGTTGTTTTTGTTGTCTATGTGCCTTGTGAAGTGCTCAACAAACGCAACGGGGAAATGTGTACAACACCATCACTGTGGAGGCAAATGGAGTGGTGCTGGCCACCCACCCACGCGTCTTTCACCTCCATCGGCGCTCGCTAACAGCGCTGGCTCGACCCGAAAGTCTGTTAGAGGCGACACGGGGGGGGGGGGGGGGGGCATTTCTCTTTGTTTCAGCAGGAGGCGAAATAGATGGGGAAGCAGAGCGAGGGACCATTTGATGCAAGGTTGCCATGGAGACATGAACCACGTGATGTCTGGATGTCAGAGATGGGGTATGGGAAGTGTGTGTGTGGTGTGTGTGTTTAGATTGTATGTGTGTTTGTGCGTTACTGTGTATCTGTGGTTACCGTGTGTGTGTGGTTAGACAGATACATGGGAGGTTATGTTGATATGTGTAAATTAAATACAAATTCGGAAATTGAATGATGTGTGAATCAGAGTGGATGAGAATTCGGAATCAGCCGTGAATTAATGCCGTGAGATGTAATGGACTGTGTAACGGTGGAAATGAATGGGTTATCTCACTATCCGAATGCATCATCTAGCTCGCTGCGTCGATCTGCAAATTATATATGTGAACGAATGAGCTGTGTCAATGAGCGGTGCAAATATGTGAATGAATGAGCTGTGTGAAGGAATGATATCTGTGTTTTTCATGAGTATAACAATGTGATTGATTGAGATTGCGAATGAGTTGTGTGAAAGAATGAGCTTTGTAAATGTGTGAATGAGATGTGAATGAGTTATGTGGATGGATGACACGTGATGAACGAGTTGTGTGAATGTGTCCATGAACGCGCTGTGAATGAGTTATGTGGATGAATGACACGTGATGAATGAGTCGTGTGAATCAGATGGGGGATGTAGATGGGCGTTTGTCTCAATCGAGTCTGTCTCACTTGCCGGCGTGTCTCAGCCCGTTTGTTTGTCCCGTGATTCTGCATCCCAGGTGTCTCTGCATCCCATTGTCTCGCCCGTATCGCCGTACGTATTCCCCATTAATGTTGTATATCTCCGATGCGTGTCTCAGTGATGTCTCCCCAGTATCTCCACATCTGCGCCCCGTGTCTCCCCAATGCCCCCCCCCCCGTGTCCCCTCGTCTCTTCTACGTGCCTCTCCCGTCTTAGACCCCCCCCCCCCACACACACACAATCCCCCCTATAATTGTACCCCGTGTCCCGGCGTCCCCACGTCTCTCGCCGCGTCTCCTCCACGCCTCACCTGAGGGACCACATGTAACCACCGCGGTACGGGAAGTACTGGTCCGGCGTCTCGCAGCAGTGCTTATTGTCCGAGAACCCGCAGCAGTAGGTCCACTCCGAGGGGTCCCCCGTGCGGGGACACAGGAACGCGGACATTGAGTCGTGAGTCGCCGTCTCGTAGGCGGTGCACACGTGTGACCCTTCGGCATGCTCCCCCATCATCTCTGCGTGTGTCTTCCCACCCCCCACCCCCCCTCCAACACGCCTGTCTCCACGCCTCTCGGCTCTTTGTCTCCACGGGTCCTCCGCCCTCTCGGTGTCCGTGGCCCCTTGCTGTGTCGATCGTTTTCCACGCGTCTTCCGACCACGTAGCCGTACCTGGCCCTGGCGTGTCTCAGCAAACGGTCCCTGCGTGTTCGCGTGCCACTGCGTGGAATATAGATTGCCTGCCTGTGTGTCTGTCTCCACGTGTCTCTCTACACACCACGTTTCGTCTGGCTCACCCCCATCTCCATCCCTGTCTCTCCCCTTCCCCTCTCCCCGTTCTGCCTGCGTCGCCTGCGGTCTCGCCTCGGTATCCAACGGTGACAGGCGGAGTGCGTTCTCTCATCTCTCCGTCACGTGATTCTCTCTCTCTCCCCCTCCTCTCTCCCCTTGCCCCCACACCCCACCGCTCTGCCTCTCCTTACCTCTCTTTCTCTCTCTCCTTTTTCTCCGTAACCATCTCTCCCTGCCTCTCGTTCCTTCGCTGCCTGCCTCTGCCTCCCCTTTCTCCCTCCCTCTCTCCTTCTCGCTCGCCCTGCCTATTCCTCACTCTCTCCCTACCTCTCAATTTCTCACGTATTTTTTTTATTGTCGATAAGATGAAGCTTAGATTATTGGGTTTTTTTCAAATAGACACATTGGTTCATTAATCGGAGGAGTGGAGGTTTTTGTTGTTGTTGCCTGTGCCATGCCATATGCAACGTTTACAGTGTTGGGGGGCGGCGGGGATGTGGGGGGGGGTCGATGCTTTGGTCTTGTAAATAGGGGATAGGGAAGCTCTAAAGGCTCATTATTAAAAGAGGCCCCATCCACAGAGTACACGACCACCTCCTTCGCCTCTATCACCCACTGCTAATGGAAGGCCGGCGTTCTCCGCCTCCACCACCCCCGTTAGTCGGCCACTGGTGGAACTCCGGCCACACCCTGACGGAGAAGGAGGACCTTTGAAAAGGCCGAGGCGACTGGGCAAGCGGCTGCCTCCATCCCTCCCTTCATCCCTCGACCGCCTTCCTCCTCCCTCCTCTCCATAGGCGGCTTCGTGTAAGCCACGCTCACGTCCGCCAGCCCAACATGTCTGTGTTTGGAGTACGTGGCGTGTTCACTCACTCTCACACTCGCTTAGCCATTCTACCCACCCAACCAATCACTTGGTCACTCCCTCACGCATTCTCACGAAACTCACTCACCTACCCACACACACACACCCAAACCCAACCGCCCATTCACAATCATCCACCCACTCATTCACCCACCCATGAGCACGTTTAGCAGCCTATCTCTGGATATTTAGAGTCCTCGTTCTTCCTGCGCGCAAATATGAGTGTCAGTGGGGAGAAATTGAGGCTGAATTTTAGCACAGAGTCGACCAGAAGCTTGCCTAGGGACTCGAGGCTCCTGCCACACTCATCAGATCCCGGAAAGTGTTGATGGTGACCGTGCGTGGTGGGCGTTGGAGTAGATTCTACTCTGGTGGTGGACGTGGTTCGTGAGTACCGCACGTAGAGTTTCCTTCCTTTCACGTCACCCTGTTTTTTTTGTTTTATTCTACCTCCCTCTGTCTCTCTTTGCCCTGATTTCTCTCCCTGGGTCTCTGTCAGTCTTGAGACAAATATCCCTGCCCTGGTACAAATGAACCACAACACCTTACTGATCTCGTCAAGAAGCATAAACCGGCCTTTGGCTGGCCACCGAACAAAGACGGTCACCGCCATCGCGTGCTTTCAGATGCGCTTCTGCAGCCGTCTGAAACGCTCTTCCTTGCTATATCAGGAAGCCACTGGAGCTATGCACTTTTAAATCATCCAGATTGGAACATCATTTATTTAGAACTGCTTTTTGTGTTTAGTTTGTCGTTCACCGGCACCTCTGGCTAGCACGGTTGGCTACGTAGGGGTGCGAAAAAAGTGCAACATACATACATAAGGCGAGGTTCAGTCTCTACATCGGCTGCAGAACGTAAATGATTAACACATTTCGATTTAAAGCTTTCGTGACTGCAGGGATTCATCTTCTTGGTTCTTTCGGTAAAGTCACGTAGAAGGGAAGTAATAAAATAATAAAAATAAAACATAATAAAAAATTCTCACGACGTTTCGGCCACAACGCAAGCAGCCGTCCTGAAGACGGCTGCAAGCAGCCGTCCTGAGGACGGCTGCTTGCGTTGTGGCCGAAACGTCGTGAGAATTGTTTTATTATGTTTTATTTTTATTATTTTATTACTTCCCTTCTACGTGACTTTACCGAAAGAACCAAGAAGATGATAAACACATGTTACGAGTGCTTTGTTCGATGTGGGAAGCAATGGCTGAGCCCAGGTGTGCTCGGCCTAACGTTAACAACTCAAAGGAGCCAGGGGCCTTCAGAGTAACGAAGTGACCCCAAACCTTGCGTCACATGCTTTCGGTCACGTGGTACAGTATAGTATAAAGGCAGAATCGCATACCTGGCAAACCATACGGTTTACCCGTATCCCTGTACAGAGGTCCATACGGCGTACGGCCGTTTCAATACGGGAAAAAAATGTCTCGTTTGTGTTTCTCCCTTGTGATGGGACTTTTTAGGATGAACGTTGAGATTTATAAGGGCACGGGATGACCAATAAGGTCTGAATTGGTCTGTAACAAGGTAGGCACTGAGAAGGGGTTGTCAGGTATGAGATCGTGGCTTTGTCGACGGTCGGTGGTTTGGGCCAACGGGGATTGGCCCAAATGCTGCTTCGAAAAACTCTGGCATTCACACCTCTCAAAGCGGGACTCGGTGAGCGAGCGCAAGCTCTCCACGTGGTGGACCAACGTAATCCGTGAACCACGTGGCTCTGGGCGCGTCAGTCTACCACGTGCTCTGCTCGTGACAATCCTGCGCTGTCTCGTTTTTGGACATTAATAGTTGTCATAATAAGTACATTCATTTATAGACCGTGGGTTCTATCCCAACCCTGATGCCTGTATATTTGGAGTTTGCGTGCTTTTCTCCCCACGGCCGCATGGATTTTTTATCCGAGTCCTCCGGTTTTTCCCTCCACATTTAGAAACATGTGTCAATGAGTATTTGGCTGCTATAAATTTCGACATAAGCTATTTCGTTGAGCTATCATTTGTGGCCAGGTTGCTTCTGAAAAAGATAATTTTAGCTGAGTGGGCCTTACCTGGTAAAAATAAAAAAATAGTTTAAAATAAACATTCTTTATCTTCTTGGTTCTTTCGGTAAAGTCACGTAGACGGGAAATAATAAAATAATACAAATAAAACATTAAATATTTATATTATTTAACCATTTTATAATGTTTTATTTTTATTATTTTATTATTTCCCTTCTACGTGACTTTACCGAAAGAACCAAGAAAATGAATCCCTGCAGTCACGAAAGCTTTAAATCGAAACATACTTTAGTTTTAGATGAAGATGGTCGCTCACTTTACAGAGTTCCCGAACTCACAACAACTCCAGCTCTCAAACCGTTATGCAGAAGCTCCAAAAAACTCCTCAGTGATTCAAAATACACCTATCATGGAAGGCCGTTGCTGTAAAAGCCATGCACATCAGCTGTGTACAAATACCACTGTGCAAGACACCACTTAACTCGGAGACCGTTTCATCTCCCTCTGTGGTGACGATGGCACAGCGGTGCTGCCCCACATCATCTGCACACCTCATACGGTCGCGTAATGCAACAGTCCATCATCTGGTTTCTGCACACACGAGTTGATTGCATCTCTTCACTTCCACAGTGGACGTCCTCCCGGGTATGCCACTCCGTCATGAGTCTCCCCCACCGTGTCCTGGGCAAGCCCCCTTCCTCTCCTCAGCCAATACGATGTCTCTAATTCGCATTTGTTCATCGTCAATGAAGCAAAACCTACTCTTTGCTTCTTTCGGTAAAGTCACGTAGAAAATAAAATCAAATAAGAGTAGAATACGACGTTTCGATTGCAACACAAGCAGCCATCATTAGGTAAGAATGAATGAGGAAAAACAAACATAGTAAACTTAGAAACACAATACAACACAACACAGAGAGCCGGCCAACACAACAGCGAACACCCCACCTAGCGGACCGCGCTCCTCCAAAGAATGACGACAAACAGAAAGACAGCGCCACTCTTTGTATTTTTTCGGTAAAGTCACGTAGGTGAAAAATAAAAATAAATTAAATCACGACGTTTCGGAGGCAACACACGCTTCCGTTTTCAGGTGGCACCGTCACAGCAAAATTACTGTGTCAGTGGAGAGAACTCTAAGAGACACGAGACTATATACAGGTTAAGGGGGGGATGGGCCGTGGGGGAGGGTTAAGTTGAGTCTCCTTTTGTTATACTGCAAGGGGTTAGGGGAGGGCGTTGTGTGTAGGCGATAGTAAATGGTTTAAAAAGAGGAGACACATAAAGAAGAGGCAGTATTTAAGCTGACAAAGTGGCTGCCTTGCAGTATACTGCAGTTAACTTTAAAGCTGCTAAAGTTTAACTTGGGTTTAACCTGGTTAAGAAATGGGGCTAATCAAGCTGGGAATAGAAAACAACTGGAAGAAATATAAATGGCTGTACAATTACAAGGCAGCTAAAGTTTGACTTGGTTGATGACATCTTTAAAAGACAGCGCACTGTGTCGAGGACTTAAATAAAGAGAGGGGGAGGGGGTTGGGGCAGAGGACAATGAGAGAGTTGTGTGGAATTCCAGACCACAGTGGCCGGAGGGAAGCCGCGCTCCTCCAAAGAAGAGTTGCGTGGAATTGCGTACCATAGTGGCCGGCGGAGAGACAATGAACTATAAACAAACCGGCACGGCAATATTTGGAGCAAGAAAATCGGAAGTTTGAGAAAGCAAATTTAGTCAAATTAGGAAGTGTAATGCAATGCAACACAGAGAGTCGGTTAACACGCAGTTCACGCATAGCCTGGTTGTTTACGTTCTTCCAAAGATTACTAAATTATAAGTTGAGTGTGAATTGTGAGGAAACCCTCCCTGTAGAGGTGGTTCAAACTAGATTCGAAGCTTTCGTGACTGCAGGAATTACTCTTTGGTTATTTCGGTAAAGTCCTCGACACAGTGGCGATGTGTTTCTGTTTGTCGTCATTCTTTGGAGGAGCGTGGTCAGCCAAGTGGGGTGTTGGCTGTTGTGTTGGCTGGCTCTCTGTGTTGTGTTGCATTTTGTTTCTAAGTTTACTATGTTTGATTTTTCTCATTCATTCTTACCTGATGATGGTTGCTTGTGTTGCAATCGAAACGTCGTATTCTACTATTATTTGATTTAATTTTCTACGTGACTTTACCGAAAGAACCAAAG